GGGGGGGGGGGGGGGGGGGGGGGGGAAGTAAATCTAAAAGACGCCGTTTGTAAAGTCGACCACCTGCACCTTTTCAATATCCCCGCCCAGACCCTTGACGAAGGCCAGATGGTCGGGATCCTTGTTCAGGTAGTACTCGCGGTCTTCCTCGGACTCGAACTCCATGACAAACACATGAGTGATGCCATTCTGCGACAGAGGGAGAGTTTAGTTTAATCCAAGCAGAAAAGTCTTGTTGCAGGGTTGGGGACGAGTGACTTACGTGCAACCCCTCGGGCGAGTTCTGTTTCCCGGCTCGGAAGGACTTGATGTATGCCGTCTGGCTGGTCGGATGAAGACACTTGTCCTTCAGCGCGACCAGATTGCTGCAGACCTAGCGAATAGATCCAGTCACGTTAGTGAGAATTCCAGTGGTTGCGTTTGAGGCAATGGCATAGGAAAAACGCACTTCTTGAACCCGGTTGGGGCTGGTTGAAGACTTGAATTGCAATTGCACGATGTGGGTTATCATGTTGTCTGGTTGTTGTTGTTGTTGTTGTTGATGTTGAAGAGGGGAATGGACTGGGCGGATGATGACGATGCCATGATAACGCACCAAGTGGCGTGTGGGGAAAGCAAATGATCAGTCAGCATGATCCTGGTCGGTTTCTTAGTTTCGTTGCGAATTATGGATGATCAGACAGGATTCCTTCACCTTCCATGTCCATCGACTTATCTGCACTGTCTTCCGGGTGACGGTTATCACTGTTGACTATATGTAACCGTTATTCGGCAAGACGTACAGATAGATTACTAAGCTTGGATTGCAGCGTCAAGTCACACTGTGGGCATAAGCCACAGGCATTAGACTTCATGTGGGATCAGCCCGGTGTAACGGTTATCACACTATTGGTGAGAAAATCCCCTTCTCATATCGACAGGGACTCGGGGCAGATAGTATGGTAGAATACCTACACGTAGGGACGAATAGTGGGTGGGCTTGTCGGGTTCCTTGGATCGGCTCCCGTCTTTGCCTCTTTTAGCCTCTTATCCTCATGCTTATCAGGAGAGCTACTAAGTACAGATTACACGGGCATATACTTTTCAAGAGATGTGCATCCAAACGAACATCGACTTACCTGACTTTGCAGAAAATGCTACCACAATCATAATATTGACCTGCGGGTAATGTCAGCCACCCCATATAGATATATCGATAGTCAGCCTGCATCCTAGCTACGAGTATAGACAGTATGCTTCATAAAAGCAGTATCCTGCCTCTCAGACCTAGCGAGAAACACATCCACTCACTAGAACACGAAGCCCTCATCCCCACTGCAATTCAAAAGGCAACATGCTCATCTTCTCCGGCAAGTTCAGCTACGCCCCCTACGCCACCAACGAACTGTTCTCGGTCGTCTTCCGCGACAACGTCCAGACCGGGGACCGTGTGGCCGTTATCCTTCAGTGGTCCAAGGATGCAGGCGGGCAGGTGAAGTCCAACTCGAACCACCATGGCACGGTCAGCAAGGTGTCTACCAATGGGTCCGGGGAGAAGGAGATCGAGTTCTTCCAGAAGGAGAAGGACAGCACCTACTATTGGTAGGGGCCCCGTGTTTTCAAACCTCGGATTAGTCGCTGATATCGCGATCAACTTTAGGTATAAGGGAAGAGTGTCGGGCGAGACGATGACTTTGAGTATGTGGAATAAAGGCGGGGAGGAGGTTACCAAGGATATCAAGCTGCAGCTTGTGTTCTTCTGATGGAAGCACTTGGCTTAGGCTGTGAGGACTTGTCTCTGTAGGTGTGTTGCTTGGGTCCGAGTCTACCGAATGAGTTTGTAGGGGATGTAGCTGAGACACTCTACATTCTTTATTTGGATTCATTGACCGAATATCTGTGAGGGCTCAACTTGCCTCGAGCCATTTCCAAAGCAGTGTCTGTAAAGGCTCATGGACGGGCTGATGCGGTCCAGTGACCTTTGTGTAGAGCTCCAAATATGGAAACTAGTATCACATTTCACTATATGGCTGGAGGCTGTGAAATAATCGATTTTTGACATGCGTAGTCTGCTCTCAACACATTTCTTGTTGAGGCGAAGGGTCCCGAAATATGTAACAGGCACCCCATCAGAAAGGCACTGTGTAGAGCCAAGTAGATATATCACTAATCCGACAGAACTATTGATTAGGTATATGTGACCTGGGATTCTGAGGCTACAGTGACAAATGATTGCTAGAGTGGCGTTGTTGTTGTTGTTGTTGAACTATGTTCATCACTTGACTACTGTGAGTGTGACCCGTCGATCGAGCGGCCAATATATGTAACATGATATCTCAACAGATTCGATTTAAAATAAAGTGGCATCCCCCCTCGTCTTCAGATCATAAGTTCAATAATAACACCCATGATATAGACCTATTAATTGTGACCAGCCTACATAGCATATGCCGTCGTCATACAAGGTTTGCTCCGAGTGGTTGTGGATGGAATCGAGGGGCTGCCACGCGGCGTCGGGGACCATTCGGGCTTTCCGGGCCTGATCCACAGGTTGAACCCCAAGCTGGTAATCTTATTAGGACATTTGACATTTAAATGAGAGCCCTGAGCAGTCTAGGCAAGCACTAATAAGAGAACTGCATAATTATAGGCTCGGGGCAAATTGCAACCGTCTTGAGCCGTTCCCCGAGTGGGGGTGGATAGAGGATGCCACAGTGCCACCACCTCAGTCTGACAGGCGTCGGCTTCCCTTCTTCTAGAACCCCGTAAATCGCCGACTAATGGCTATTGATCCCTGATTGGATGATACGTGGATTGAGTGAGCAGAACCCCGAGTCGGTGTTAAGGCAGTGGAGCCCTAACAAATAACAATAGTCATAGTATTGTATCCCGGATGACGGCGACGCATGATGATGAATGATAGTGAGTATTGATGGAAAATGGAAATGGATCCCGACCGACTGAATGCGAATGCGATGGAAGACGGGGAGTAATTTCTTTTCTCCGGGGAACCCCCTGACGGTCCCGTGACCTGAACCGGGCAGTCGGTACCGCCCGGTCGGTCGGGGAGACTATCTAATTCATCTCCTATCCATGAATCTACTTCATCCCAATTTCATGGTTCTTGAGTGTCCATATTCCCATCATTCATCCCCCTCCAGGGTGGGAAAACTCTCCGACCTGGACTCTAAACTGGCTTGCGTAGCACAGCAAGCCTCTCCCCTTTCATTCATGCAACAAACTTTCCTCACCTCTACCCCTCGGGGCATGCCTGCACTTTGGTCCCCGAGTTCAGGTCCCTCCAGTACAGTACAAGTACAGTATCTCTATGCACAAGTCGCAATCAGCTGCAAGTAAAACCGAACCAATCTCAAAGCATAATGCTCCGTTTCAGGTTTCATTGCGCTGATGGGAAATGGACCCCGGAAATCTAGACGCATGAAGTCATGAACAGCCTCCAGATGCAAGGCTGTCGATCTGTTGCAATGGGCCAATCTGCGATGGTCCCCGAGTCGGGGTCTCGCGGGATTGGATCCTGAGGATCCAAATCTCGGGGTTCAGATCCCCTTGGCTGCAGTGGATGGTCTTCAATTTCTCATAACGCCTCTCGCTCTTCCTTTATAATTCACCGCGATGTCGTCAGCCGTAGTCCCTGGGTCTGGCACTATGAACCAGTCTCTATCAAGATCATGCAGGATTCCGGTAAACCCTCCGCACTCGCCTGTGTACCCTGTCGGCGCCGCCATCTGAAATGCGATGCGCGCATGCCCATCTGCACTCGGTGCCAGAACAATAATCATGATTGTCGATATGTCCGATCACGTCGCGGGCTGCGGAGTAACAAGGCAGGCCCTGGACCGACAGCGGAAGAGGAGGCCGATGCTCTATTCTCGTCGAATATCATGAACTGGCTGGATGCCTCATTTTTAGATGTACATACATTACCCTTCTTTGCCAAGCAATCGTCGAAGACAACCTCTTGCTAATGGAACTAGCCAGATTGCCTCCTCGACATCCCTGACCTGAGTCTTGATATTTTTCACCAAGAGCCAGCGCCATCATCGCCAACGCCCGTGCATATCCCTCATACCGAGGACATCACCCATGATGCTATGGTTCAGCTCTACTACCATCACTTCCATAGATCGCATCCTATACTGTTACCGAGACGGGCGCTGGCATCGTCCGTTGCACAGCATATACCTGATTATATTCCTGACATCATGCGCTACATCGGCAGTCACTATGCTTCTGCTCCAACGCTCAAGGATGGTTTCTATCAGTCTGCTTACACCGTTCTCACCGCCCCGAAGGATGGCTTTCAAGCCCAAGGCCTCCTCCTGCTTAGCATCCTGGAGCATTCGCATGGTCGTGAAGAGGCCGCACGACGACTTCTCCGGGAGGCCATCCAGGTTGCGTACAGCATCGGCATGCAGACCCAGGCCTTTGCCCCGAAGAACTCCCACGGATATCCCGTGCTGGAGGAAAGCTGGCGACGAACCTGGTGGGAGCTCTACGTCACGGAGGGACTCATGGCCGCCATGGGCTCCGGGCAATGCGGGGTGCTCTCTTCAGGATGGGAGGAGTCCGATGTGTGGCTCTCTATACCAGAGGAGACATACAACATGGCTGCAGGAGGGGCTAGTGGTAGCGAAGTAGGCACAACCCTGACCCCATTCCCAAAAAGGGTCCAAAGGGTCCTGATCTAACAGCCAACCAGACCAAATCCGAACCTCTGACCCTGTCCTCCCTTTCCGACTGGCCGTCTGACCTCACCTCGTCCGTCTCCCGCATCTACGCAGTACAATTTCTTCGAGCTGTGCTCGAGCTCAACCAATCCCTCGACCCCGCGATCGAGACACAAACCGAGACGCTGGACGCACGGCTCGTCTCCCTACTCATGCGCTTACCCTTAACCCCCTCCATTACCGACGCATCCACCATCGACGAGATGGCCTTCCAGGCTCTAATGATCACTTACCTGTATGCTTTCCGATTTTACCCCCTTCTTGACTCCCCATCATACACAGCCACTAAACAAAACCGTATAGAAGCCTAATCCACCTCCACCACCCCCATTCAACAATCCGCTTCGCCTCCTATCAACGCGCAAATCCCCAAACCACCACCACGACAACCAATCCGTCCTCCTCATCCTCCTGCACAAGACTCCGCGTTCTCAGCCCGTCATCATCACCCGCATCCGCATCCGCATCATCAACACCGAACCCCACAAACCCCATCCCCTCCGGCCACCTCCCGCTCAACATTCACGCCCAAAAGATGCTCCGAGCCGCCGACCTTATCTCCAACCTAGCCACCCTCCCCAGCTCCGTGCAGTCCCGCACCCCCTTCTTCACCTGCGCCCTGGCGCTCGCCATCGTCGTGCACACGGCGACCTTCATGATGTGTGCGTCGTCGTCGTCGTCACCATCATCTTCTTCTTCACCTGCTCCTCCTGCATCTTCGACCAAGAGCGCCAAAGAAGATGCCCTGAAAGCGCGCATCGAGCTCGGAGTCGGCGCCCTGCAGGTGCTAGGCCGAGTGTGGCCGCTAGCGAAACAGGTGCGGGGGGAGATGATCGAGCTGTATCGCGGGAGGTGATTTTCACGTCGCAACCTTGACGAAGCACACGAGACAGCCGCCAGACACAGAACACAGACAGAAAGAGTCGGGTTTGCCTATTTGGCTACTTTCCATGTGACCATCCGACCACAGTAAAGAGGAATCAGCATGTGACGGAGGGGATGTCCCTAACCCAAGGGAGTGGTAACGGCCGCCTTTTCCTTTATTCATCCTCAACCTCTCAGTCGATTCTTGCATACGCATTTGGGAGGGGCTTTTAGTTGGTAGATAGCACAGCACAGCACAGCACAGCACAGCACAGAGCGATTCGTTCTTCTTGCATTATATATATACCATATCATATCAGACGTTCTTCAATATACCGGGAATTCATGGAAGGATATCTTTTCCCTTTTCCACTCTTTCTCCTTGTTGTGGTTTTGTGGTTTTGTTGTTTTGTTTTTACTCTAGCTTAGTAGAGGATTCTCTCAGTATTGGTGGGACCTTGCACGAAGTCAACAATTCCGGAACCTCTACTCAGGCATCTGGTCATGGTGAATCAGTTGACTTGATAATGACATCACGTTGCATGACTTAGTTCATCGAAACCACGGGAGAGCTTGAGACTGGCACTAGTTAAGGACGGCTTTAGCTTAGCAAGCATGGCTTTGAGGATGCTTGGTGGTCTCTAAATGACAGGAAGACTTCTATGATAGGTTTGTGCATCTCGTAAGGTATGGAATTCATGTATCAGAAGGTCAATATATACATGGGCATAAGTCTTGTGTGTCAATCCGGGCGTTGACATCGACCCGGCAAAAAAAGTAAAAGGAAAAGTCGGGGGTGAATGTCCCGAGCCCCCATAGGTCAGGGTAAAGAATGAAAGAGGGGACGTGAAATTGAATGTATGATATGAAAAAGGGAATGTGAGTATACAAGGCGTCAAGGTGTCCGAGCCATCGGACGGGCATCACATTGGGGCGGCCGGCCACTGCGGTCTCTATCTTCCCCACATACGGGCTGCTTGCCCATTGCCTCTGTCGGGAGAGCCGTCGAATGACCCCTTGCTTGAATGATCGCTCGCCTCGCCCTCTACTGGGAAGGCCGGTTCGCTGGTGATCTCGATCGTCGTGTGCTGATACACTTTGCCCAGGGTCGACAGCTCGACTCCGCTGGGCTGGACGATATTGTCGGTGGACCCGTCGCGTACGGTGCGTTCCATATCCTCTTCTTCGTGGCGCGCCATGCGAAGGGCACTGATGTCGGTACGGTTGTATTTGGGGTCGGCGGTGATGGTTGTTAGATGATTGTTGTCCGTCTTGCGGTTCTTGCTGCTGGTGAACTTGTAGCTGTGATCGTGACTGGGTTCCGATTCCAGGATGAGATTGCGGCGAGTCAGAGTGTACAGTAACGCGTCGACCAAGCCAGAACTGGTGATCATAGCACCGGCGACACAAAAGTAAGCAACGTTGGGAGCATCTCCCTGTGCGGTGGCCATGCGTCCGGCGGCAAGAGGAAGGGAGAGCACAATGTAAGCGATCGGATAGATAACCATGTATCCGATAACACGACGGAGGCGCTTCAGACTCTCGATGTGGCTGTTGCCCAGAATCGCGGACTGCTTGATGCGGCGACGGAGTTGGAACCACATAATGGCGTAAAGCGTGACGGTGCCGAACTCCGCCAGGAAAATCCAGATGTAATGTGTCCATAAACGCATCGCTTCGTAGTCTTCGCTGATCCAGCACTAACGAACAAGTTAGCTTGTCACAACCGCTTGTCATGGACACTGATTCTTACCCAGGCCCCCGAGGGAATGAACACATAACGCCCATGTGAAGCGAGTGGAATGACAACCAGAATGGCGACGAAGACCCAAATCCCCACCACAGATGCCACGAAGACCCGATGGCTCAGTTTATAACCTAGAGCCACCAAAAGGAATGTATGAATAGCAATCGCGAGCACAAAGAGACCACTAGACGGATCACCAATCTGTAGCCAGAGACCCTGGAGGAAACACCCAGCAGTATCGGCAGATATCTTGTCCTCTTGTATCCACTTGAGGCAAATCAAGAAAGCGAGTGACTGTTGCAGATCGGCCAACACAAGGTTATAGATCAGGATGATGTACTGATTGTAACCGATATACCGTGCATAGGATCCCCGCCAGAAAACGAGTCGATAGGTGATGAAAGATATCAAAGCGAGTGTCGCTAAAAATGAGAGAATGGCCATGACCGAGACGGCAATGAGACCTTTGCGCTGAGTGCTCGGAAGCGGATCGATATCCATCGTTACCCCATCCCTCAAGTATGTACGAGGAGAGAGACCATGGCTATCATTCTCGAATGCTCCCAGAGCATTCAGTACTTGAACAAGGCTCATGATTGCGACGTCTTTGAACGTGGCGAGTCCGGATACACTGCTCTCACATCCCCCTCCTCGAGTAAATAGCAATCGTTGCAGCAGCGCCCCGGAGGGAAGGACGACGCTTTTGAAGGGGCAAAGATCGTGGTCACTGGGTACTCGATGGGTCGACCCAAAGTTTGAGTTGTTGTGAACAGACCAGAAGGTGCAATAATCGGCACGAGCTCAGATCAGGGGGGACACTCGTTGCACCCTTTTCCGAATCCAGGAGAAAACGCTTATCGCAGGTTCTCAGAAGTAAAAATGAGAGGGAAGATGGAGGAGGAGGGGGAGATAGTAATTCTCCGTGGCGGTTGAAGAGGGACGAGCCACAACGGTATGGACTGGATTAAAACCACCGGCAACGGCGAGTGGACCATTGTGGGGAGATGGGCCTCTAGTAAAGCTTTTTGATGGATTAGTTGATAATTAGCTGCCCATCATATCCTCCAGGCTCACTCGTGCCCAGAAGCTATCACCGGGAATCGTTAGCCTCCTAGGGACGGAGTGAGAGAGAGAGACGGCTAGCCCGGTGAGAAGTGGTTCCTGAAACCTTGGCCATGGGAACATCGCATTCAGCGACCTGGCAGCGAGCCCCATGCCAAGCATAGGGGACAACCGTGGAGAACAGACGGATAGGAAGAGACGGAAGGCATCCGGAAAGTGGACGACGGGTAGACGGGACTCAATTGTCCTGTCCATCATTTACACAATCATGATGCCCGCATTGTTTATTGTGTGCTCCCCTCCCCCATCGGGGTTGTTTGCCGGCGGAGATTGGAGTTGAGTCTGAGCGTCGGGCAAATTGAAGGATGAGCAGGGATGAAGAGGCAGCCTCTATGTCTATTGGCAGGATCGATTACCGCGGCTTGAGATGTCGCGTCGATGCAGGTGGCAGGATGCAGCCACAACCCCAGACCAGAGTTTGTTTGCCTTTCGCTTGTCCCATCTCGGTGAGGGCAGAGACCAGAGATGCCCTCTTAGGGGGAACTAAAATCGTGAGCCTGTGAGTGTCTGTCCAGCTGTCGCCTTCCAGAAACTCGCCTGCCCCACCCGCTGAGACGCCGATCGCCTTCCCAATCCACGTTGGTCTGACTCGAAGCCCGTCGTCACCTCGAGGCTAGATTGTCGCGTGTGAACTGAATGAGTCTCGGGAAGTCTACCGCGGTACTCCGTATGTGAAATGCTTCTCCACAGGCAAGTGCTTCCCGTGACAAGAGCGTGCACGGCTTGAGTTCCAACATGCACACACCTAGCCGTTTGACGTGTCCTGCTCGATCGGTGTACTCAAGTAAGTTCTTGTCTCTGGATTAACCGTAGGCGGCAATACAGAGGCTTGGCATAAGGCAGATGAACGAGTGTGTTAGGGAATAAGAATAGGATTGTGCGATCGCATACGGAGTAGTCTAGGTTCCCTGACTAGCAAAACAGTGGTGGTGGTGGTAATAGTAGTGGTGGTATGACCCCATTGTCTCAGCTTGTCTCCTGGCGTAAATGGCTAGTCCGCCACCAGGAAGGTTACATAGAAGGAAGAGAGGCTGGACCATTCTCGCAAAGCGGATTAGCGGTGATTGATTATTAACTGGTACTCAGTAAGTTAGTACGTATGAGGGAAGGAAAACAAAGAAAGGAAAGGAGGGAGACAGAAAGGGAAGAAAGAGGGAGGGGGCGGAGATTATCCTGGGTAAAGGCGGTTATCCCCGACCAGTCTCTTGGCATCTCTCCACTTTTCCAGGCGGCAGAAACAAATCAGCTGTCGACACTTGATAACGTTGCATACGATTTGCCTTCAAGTTGGACTCATGGAGCCTACACTTCTGGTTAGCATGTACAGTACAGTATCCGTACTCCGTACCGTGGACAGGCCTTGGTCTCTTCGGGTGAACCAACCGACTGGGCATGGCCATGCCCTGCCAGTTTGACGGTTCTTTGACAGTCTCGAAGAACTTGTACGGAGCATTCGCATATGTATCGGTACCGGACTACCAGTTGTCTTAATGCACCACAATCCCTGGTCATCTTTCGATTTCATCAGGATTCAGGACTAGTTTACTCCGTAGATCTACTGCATTCTCTTCGTACAATACCCACAGAGACATGCTACGTAGCGTCTATTCATTTTCAGATTCACATGCACGGTACACTACACAGTAGCCTCCCCCTGGTCTCTTGGCCTGATCAAGAGCCCTATGGCTTGCATGCCGATCTCGGTTGTTGAACGTTCCTTCCTCTACCGACACCATGGAGTTGGTTGCAACGTGCATGTTCAACCTTCCCCAGAAACTCCTACACATGCATACAAGCTCCGATAGACTGATTTATCCAACTATGCTAGTCATGCAAGGGGCAAGGATGATTTCGGAGTCTTCCCGAGTCCATGGACATGGGGTGCACTTGGACCATCTGGTTGCACGAACTCTGCCCTCCACCTTCTGCTATCGGTCAAGATGGACACTGTATTGTTGAACCAGCGAAAAGTCTGGTAGCTGGGGGATCTGGCAAAGCATCGTTCAGCCTATGGCACCTGTGATTCTGCAAGGAACCGAACTCAGCTGGCCCTCATTGTGACCGATCGGAGTAATTCTTTCCGGGGGCCAGTGAATGTCGCCGCCCGATTCGAGACCCTCTTCATTACCTCTGTCGAAAGTCATCAGGAGGCGATGTCTTACCCAAGCATCTGATCCGGCGATAATGCTCGCTGGCCCTATGGCTTCTTCGAAAGTCAACCCGAGTCGAAGAAGGCGCGTTGATCTATCTGCGATGCGGCTCTCATCGGTGGTCAAATTGATCTCCCAACGAATACAACACTAGTGAAAGGAAGTTCTCTGATAAACTGCAGCGCAGATCCGCGGTTTCTTCAGCCGCGCATCATTGTCGTCGTTAGGAATTAGGGTGTCACTAGCCCAGATCCACATCATCCGAGAGCGACAATCATTTTCTATTGTTGGCACCTTTCCCGAAGACTGCTGCACCCCATAGTCTAGTCCATCCTCATGGAATCCGCTACACTATGCAGATAAATCCCGCATCCTCACGATAGGGGTCTTGCTACGAGTAAAAGCCTCCTGCGATCTGACTGCCTTTCTTGACCCCTTTCGAATTCGAGTCCAATGGTATATGGATCAACATGCAATTCTTGGCAGGTTCCATGGAATTTTGCCCGCTGGTTCGGGCCTGTCTGGCATCATCCCGACCGGTTCGAGTAGAGAAAAAACAACTAGTTCCAAGCGGCAAGTTCGATTGCTTCAGGCCTTCATAATAATCTCGAGTGATTCTAACCAATTATGACCACTGCGGCTAATCTTCCTACCAGGACCTGACTGATGACATCGGCAGTTATTGCCGATAGCTCTTCGGCCTCGTAAAATCGTCGTGGGTGCCGTGGGTGCGAGAGCCCACCTAACCTACCTTGAACCGCTTCCAGCGTACACATCCATAGTACTTACTGTACCAGATATCCCAACCCTGCAGCTCCGACTCGGCATTGCATCCGCACTGGATTTGATGATCGTCGACATAGAAACTGTCAAAGCTCGCGGATCGACATGATTCCCCGAGTCGAAGTTCTGCACATAGTGCGGGTCTGGATCTCATCGCATCGCATCGCATCGTGGTCGAACTGCTTGTGCCTTGTGGGCTTTCCCATCGCATCCTCAACAGTGGTAGCAGTGGATCAAACGCGGCACATGGACCACATCCTGATTTTTCCACACGAAGATCGATCTCAGGGCTCCTCAGCCTCAACCAGAACCGAAGAAAGGAAAATTAGCAAGAACAAAACCTGCGGTATCCATCACGAGCTGAACACGGGACATCTGACTTTTTCCCTTCTCCCCTTCTTCCCCCTTTGTCCACGGTACACCACCCTTCTCAGAAACAACGGCAGAAGCTTGTCCGGCCCGGAAAGAACAAGCGCCGATGACAATGGTTCGGCCAGATGATACAATGCTAATGCTATATCCTCTGTCGGCGAGATCCCGACAGTTATAGCATCGAATTGCCCTTCTCAGCATCTAGGATAATTTTCACAGGGCGAAAGATGGGGCAAAAGGAAAAAAAAAACTCTGTTTGAAATTCCCATAGTCTTTCATAATGAGTAATGGGCTACATTACCCCAAGACGGGGCCCAGAGCTATTCTCTTTGACTTTCACTAGCGGCGCCGACGGCAGTTTTAGTCGAGTCCAATGGGAAGGGATGGGGAAAGTTTGTTTGCACGGCAGCTTCCGATCGGACCTCTGTCTGTCTGTCTGCCTTGTTTGGCTGAATGGAACGTGTTGAATGAGATCAGGGTTCCATGCAGCCATGTGGCCTGTGAAGTAATCATGTTTGTCGGGAAATTTTGGTGTCGTGCTCGTTGAACCATGGCGGGTCCTTCCACCATCACCACACCTTTTTCCTATGTTCTCAACTTGTGCACGAGTATACTCCGGACTGGACTGATCATGTATCTGTCAAGTACCTTCCTTCTCCACCACAGCAGGAGACTCCAAGAACATGAACACACCACCCCATCCCGGATACAAAACACCCATTCGACCCAAAAATGGTTCCTGGTCACTTCTGTCCTAAGCCTCTTCCCCATCTAGTCACCCCCTTTACATTCAACAAACCCCACCCTCCCTTTACTGCATTCGTCTCCGGATCACACTCTAGGTAGTTAGTCTACCTCAACCCACCATCAGCCTAAGAGTCAGGGTCCAGGTCCAGCTCAACAGCACTACGTCAATCATCTTCAACCCAAGACCATCAGACTCTCTGAACTCCAGCCCTGATGATCCTCACATCGCCTCCAAGAGAAGAAGGTCGAACTCGTGAAAACCGTAATGAATCAGACCCCAAGGCGTGGATCCGGTAGTTTCGGCCTAGTTACCCTACCCTATCCTACCCTAACCTAACCCTTTTGCTCCCTCTTCAACTTGAACCGGTCTAAGGCCGCCTACTGCACAGCTTGGTCGATCTCCTCGGCCGATAAAAGCTCCTAGGGCTGTGGAACTTGATGAGCGACTAGCTTTCCATCCCTTCCCCCCCCCAGACCCCACCTCCTCCTTCGCCCCTTTTGCATACCACTGCGAGGCGAAGTTCACCTGCCCGAACGGGGGCAAAGTGAGTGAGGACCCGGCGACCCGGCAGGCCATGGAGAGAAAGACCTAACGCTCAACACCAGAACTTCTTCCAAGACTGGCTCCCAGCAAAAACAACAACCCAGCTCATCATTCAGTGACAAGATATCCATTCAGCTCATAAATGCCCGTTAGAAGTACAGAGAAAAAAAAAACATTAGGGGGTCCAGAGAATACGACCACAGCAGAAATAAAGAGTCAGAGGATCAAAGGAGTCATATCAAATCAATTCCATGTCCTCATGTACAAACCAGTCCAACTCCTCCTCTCCCTTTAGCTGTCGGAGAAATCAAATCATGCCTTCTCTCCACACACCCACCAAACCCCACCACCAAGGGTAGGTACAGTAAGTACATTAGATAGGTTAAAATTAAACGTAACGCACCGTTTCCTCACCATCATCCCACCAAACCCACCATTCCATCACACCCTTCTTCATTTCAATTCATTTCATGCAATTCGTCCGGGGAAATCTTTGGATCTGCTGAAGTGTTTCCCCGTTGCTCATCAAATGTCGTTAACGCTGTATTTGAGAAGAAAAAAAAAAAAAAAAAAAAAAAAAGAAAAACACGCAGGAAGACCTAACCACATCAATTGCAATTATCTCCTTCGCGTCCCCCGTCGACTGTCGTACGCCTCTTCCTCGTCTTCCTCCTCGACGGGAGCCGGGGTCCGCCGTTCGGTCCGCCGCTTTGGGCGCCGCCGACGGTTGGAGCTGATGTTACTGGCCGAATCGTCGGGGGCCAGGGACACGCCGTCGTCGAGGAAGAAGTCGTCATCGGCGGCGCCATTCTCCCAGAGTCCGAAGCCGGAGGCGGGGGTGCCGAGACGGGCCTCGACGAAGGAGCCGCGGCGGTTCTGGTTGGCGATGGACAGGCCGGCGCCGCGCTCGCGCAGCGCCCGGCGCACGACCTCGGCCTTGCAGTGCAGGGCCTCGAAGGCATCCTCCAGCGCCTCCATGCCCAGGTAGATGTCGCGCTCGATCTCGGCCAGGGCTGCGATCTCCATTTCCTCGTCGAGCGCGATGGGTCCCCCGAAGGATGCGGAGGCCGGCGACGGGGACGTGCCGTAGGGCTGGCTGGCCGGTCGGGACACCCCGTCCACCTGGCTGGGTGTCGGCCCCCGTGAGATGCCGCCTGTCGTGAACGGGGTGTTGGACCGGGTGCTGCTGTAGCGCGACGGGGTGGAGCCGGACGGGAAGGAGTTATCGGCGCCGCTGCGGAGGAACCCGTCAAAGCGGCCGGAGATGAGGATGTCCCATTCGTCGTCGCTGATCGCCGCGAGTGTCGCTAGGACATGGTGCATGCCTGGGTTGTTGAGCATGTAGATTGCGGTTTCGGGGTCCCGCGGTGGGGAGGACAGTCGATAGAGTCGTTGGATCGCCAGAGTCGAGGACACCAATGGAGCCGGTCGTGGGCGTGGCTGTCCTTCAGGCCGCGGCGTAGGGGAGGTCGAGCTGATTCCGAGAATAGCAGAGAAGAGTTGCCGCTCCTCGGGCTCGAGATGGGTCAGGATCGCAAACGTCAAGGTCTCATCATCAACCTCATCGGGGGCGCTTGTGCCTCCACCAGTCTGCTCACTGAGCCATTTGTCGACGGCCACTTTCGTTTTACGGGACTGCCGAATGTAATGCTCCCGATACTCCTCTGGCACGTCGATGTCGAGTTTCTGCATGGGGATGTGCTCGTCACCCGACCAATCCGGGTCCACGACCGTCGGAGATAATCTGAAGGGTGGCCAGTTGGGGAGCTCGCGGCGGCCGGAGACCAATTCTAGCACCTCCCCCCAACTCACGCCCGCTGGGCGTTCCTCGTGTTCCGCATGTTCGCACATCAGACAATTGCATGATTCGGACGAGATGTCACGAGCAAATACGGCCTCCAACCGGTCGAGAAGTCGCCGAGCTACTGATCGATATCCCGTTGCGACGGCGAGCGAGCCGTTCTTCGTCATGACATGCTGATAGTCTTCCAGGAGCCGGTTGAGAGGCTCGAATATCTTGCTCGCCACGAGTTGCGGCTGCGTTGGGGGATACGGCGCGGCCTCCGAGCCGCTCAAACTCTGCAGGAGGGACTTTGGTGCGCGATGATCTAAGCCGCCGTGCTGTAAGAGGTAGTCGACCTTCGGGATGGATATAGGCACCTCCGGGGGCGGAGGCGGAGGCGGAGGAGCTCCATAGGCGGAGTTCGCGGTCGGAGGCCGCCCGTAGTCGTATGCAGCTTCCACTGGGCTCCGGAACGCGGACCCCGGGCGATGAGACATGGACGACCGTGTCTGGGTACGAGAGGGCGGCTTCTCCGGGCTTCTGACCTTGCGGGAAGTGGTAGACTGGTGAGCGGGCGCAACCGTCGTAGCCTCCGACCCGTTGGTTGATTCGAGACCGATGTCGCGTACCGTTGCTGGGGAGCGTGGCGGCGTCGTGGCGGTGCGACTGGAGGGTCGTTTGGGCGGCGCTGTTTCCTCCACGATCTTGCTCTTGGAGGACTTGCGGCTGGCTGTACGAGACGGCGATTCCTTATCATGGCTGGAGCGCTTGGTTTTCGTCGAGTCCGATCGCACCGTCTTGCTTGACTTGGCCCCTTCATCCTTCTTTGACCGCAGACTCGAGGACGAGCGAGTGGACTCGGCTCGAATCCGGATCTTGGTCTTCGGTTTCTCCTCGGTAGTCTTCGCGTCCTTGTTATCACAGACCGTGCTCCCCTGGCGGGATTGTTGATCGACGCTCGTCAATGGGGGACTCGGGGGCGCATGCTTGTTGCCGTCCGAGCGATCATGGCTTCCTCCGTCGGCCGCCTCTTTGCCTTGGTCGGTCAGGTCGGTCGGATCTGGGGTCGGGATGTTCGGTTTGCCGACAGCTTCCCTGCTGTGAGCCTTGGAGAAGGTCGGATACGGGAGGCTGGTTCTCGATTCGAGGAAGGACGCCGTGCCGGAACGGCTGGCGCTGTCGATGCCGGGCATTGAGGCACGACGTTGCTGGCTGGGATTAGAGGCGGAGAGCGAAGGTGTCGAGGAGCGGTCCGTGGGAGGGTCGGGAGGTCGTTCCTTGGTTGGGGAGCGGGTAGACGATGGTCCGTGGGACGAGCGGTGCTTGTGTTGTTTGGATTTGGAAGAGACGCTCGAGGAAGTTGACGCCTTGCGAGTCCGGTCCCTGTCGCGATCTCGGTCATTAGGTCTCAACGGTAGATGGAACATGACGTGGGTGTGGGTGTGGGTGTGGGTGTGGGTGAAATCAGGCGGAAGGCTTCGAATCGAGGTGGATATGGAAGGTTGGAAGACACTCTTCCCCCCTCAACACAACCCCTTGTTCTCCTTGCTCTTCGTCCCCACTTTCGCTTTCCGATTTCGGGATTGTATTGCGTTTGTAGTAGTTACCTCGAGTTATAGATCGCGAAGGCGGGATGAGAGGACCCAGCTAAACAGCTCCCAAGGCGAGCAAAAGAAGAAAGAGTTTGTGTGGTGTCACAATGTCGAGAAGGAGGTCCAGATGATCCGAGAGCCGGACGGACTTTCGTCGTCTGGCGCTTAAGAGATCTGGAACCAAACGCAACTCCCAGTGGTCGAATGCCCAATTAGGCGCCTGTGTCAATCCACCGAGGGGGTTGCTGGAACCGATGCAGCATCCCGTGAGGGGCGCGGCGGGAAACGAACGATAAGGGTGGGCGAGGGCGGAAATTGGAAGATAGTTCAGGCGCTTGAACGGGAAAATAGGGAGAAGTGACGAATCAATTCAATGTTGGAGTATCGTGAAGTATCGTGGTTCAATGATCCTAAGAAGGAGAGAATTGCAGAGTGCAGTGACTGTGCATGGGAGGAGATTTGGCGGAAGAGATCGATTTTGCGGTGAGAGCGACTAGACTGAAAAGAAAGAGAAGACACGCTGAACCTGAATTACTACTGGACTGATGGATGGACTCCTCCCCG